CCGGAACTTAAACGCGGTAGACTCAAGAAGCCTGGCTTAGGCCGAACATCGCCGAAGGCAAAAGTAATTATGTGAACCGATATTTCCGAAGATTACAAGGGCCCCTGCTAGAGAAAAGAAATCTATCCTTCATCCCAAAGGTCATGTAGGCTTATCGGAATGTAGACACGTCGTATAAGTCCGATGTCGATAAATAAGCGGTAGCACCTCACGCCCCGAACCAGCCTCCTGGTCAACCTTCTCTACTCTCAACACCTGAGCAAGATACAGCTGCGACGACAGCACCGGAGCCTTCGACAACTTCTTCTGCATACCCGATTCTAAAAACTCCAAATCGTGCAACGGTATCGGCGGCGTGACGAGGCGACACGAAACGGCCCCCAATGACCCAGACAAAATGGGTATCCCCTCCTCGCTGTGGGTATGCGGTATGCGATCCCACATGTTTTCTTCAGCGTTGACAAAGTCTTCTGCCCTGGGAAGCTGGTGTTCTGCGAGGATGTTCACGACGAGGTGCGGTGTGGAAGGGTCCGGGGGTGTATCTTGGATCGCGTTGGCCAGACGAGAAGGCATACGCAGGGAGAAAGCGACGAGGGGGTGGGGGTCGAGGGCAATGGACGTGAATGACGAAAGCGTCGCGCCGTGGTAAGGGTAGCCCGAACGCGTCAAGGCTGTCACGACCGCTACGGGCTGGGCTGCCCTTCGCATGAGGTCATGGAAGTCATTCTTCACTGTCTCTTCAGTAAATATAGTGGTAGGAAGATTTTGAGTCAAGCGTCGAGCCTGTTGGAACCTTGGGAGAAGAGAAGGGTGACATACGAAAAAATTGGAACGATAAAGGGAAGACATGGCCTTGTTGACAGATGGTGTCCATTTGACCTTTTGGCCTCGAAACCCAACAAGAACAAACTGAGGGCAGGAAATACATCTGACTTCAACCTCAGCCGCCCAAATCTCATTTTAGAATACACTGGTAGGTCTTGTGAAACTTTCCTCTTTTCCCTCCTCTGTTTCGCTTTCTTTTAATTCATTCTTAGACCAACCTACAGGCACTGAGTCGATAGCGAGCTAATACATCGACAACGAAAATCATATTATGCAGGTAATTGATAACTGTGTTAAGATCTAGCCTTCAACTATCAGGTAGGTCGACATCGACCAGATTTACTAGAGGGATATTGTAATGCAGCAATGTAGGACAAGATGCGATGATTCGCCGGAATCTATTAAGCTAGTTCGATGATGGGGCGCTGACTAAGTAGAAAGCGGAAAGTCTCACTACTCTGTGGACAATACACCCATATGGTTTCAGTAGATCCTGCGTCGACGGTGAGTTGTGATCTTTCAATGCATCTTGAACAGTATTCTGACGACCGACCAGGAAAATCCCTTACAGATTCTACTGAAGCGGCTCGAGGCCGACGAAGTGGATGCGCTTGCGAAACAGTGCGGTGTGGATGGATGGCTCGACTCTGTAGATGTCTTGGATGCATGTACTCTGCAGAAGGCCATTGTCTCTGGAGATCACAAAAATGCTCCTCTTTGGTTTCAAAATGAATGAATATCCACCATTCTTCAGCCTTACCTGGACTGTAATTATCTGTATCTCTGAGAATATTAATTTCACTGCATATTCATTGGGCCATATATCATGTAAACATCAACAGTAGAAAGATTCACTACCTGGATATTGGATGCTTTGTGCAGACAAATTTCCCTCCAGCACATCTGGATGTAAAGATTGAAGAGGTCATTGATCCCTGCTTCGGACTACATATCATTTGTTCAGGCTAGTCTCGGCTCTGGTACGGGAAACTGTACTTAGTCACAGCGCTTTATTTCAGAAAAAACCGTGATCAGAACTAGATACAAATGACAAATGCTTGCTGGTACAAAGAATACGTCGAAGAGATACTTAATAATGGTCATCAAATCCCATAGTGGTTCAAAGTTTGATATCTCAGGTGACAGTGAAAGGCTTGACCTTGTCTACGTCGAAGACCTGGCATGCCGTCGGTCTACGTTACCCTGGTACCTGCCTTTAGATTATGCCCTTTCCGACACGAGAACTCGCTGGGCTCCTGACCCCCATTCATATAGCACCTTTGGAAATCTCACTCGTAACGCTGCTGTCGCTCTTTCTCAGGCTGGTCATCTAAAGGTAAGCTTGTGTTGAACGTCCACATGGGTACCCGTTGAATTTAATTTGACGAAGCTCTTCACGCCAATGGTTCTACATGTGGCCAAGCGCGTGTGATAACAACTGTCTTGTGGTGAGTACCAAAGTATCCCAAATGGAACCATCGTTCTTGGTTCATCAGTATCAGTAACACTGAAAACTTTGACCCAATGGTATCCGAGTCATGACTTCAGCCCCCGCGATGTGATGAGCACCTGCTGTACTATAAGCTTTGGATAGTGGCTAGATCTGTCTTTCGAACCAGTGGGGTGAGGGCCGACGCATCCGCGCGGCAGGTCCGAGTCCTATGTTTTTTTTTGTAATCTGTTGTTCATGTCAGAAATAAGCATCCGATCATATAATAGCCTGCCTATGTATGAACATACCATGATCTTTTCCCATCTTGTCTCGCGTCACGTTGACGTTGTCGAGCAGTCCTTCTTGCAATGCCTATCTTCCCAGTATCCTTAAACCATTTCTATGGGTCCACACGCTGAAGCGTTGCGAGCCATAGTAGTGCATAATATCCCCTAACCGAAACTCCATCACATCATCGGCCAAAGATCAATAATGGTGTGCACAATGGATTATCAAAGAACCAGTGCATCGTGGACCACGGCAACCTTCCTGTTCTAGCAAAAGAAAAACAGAAAGCACCATTAACACGCTCATCGAAGACAGGATGAAGGAAGAACCTCAGCATCTCGCGTGGATGGGTAGATGAACATGAACAGACAGCTTTATTGATTGGTACTAACGGAACCATACGATACAACGATGTTGGAATAAGCAGAGCTCGTATCGATGATGATGCAGTGTTGTCATGGCGAGAGTGCAGATGCAATGGACAAAATGATTTTCACCACCACCGGCATAATAGTGGCATTGGATCTGCCGCCAATCGTGAAAGAGTCTCCGTGAGCGCCCACATGCTGACATGAGGTAAACAAATAACCATACCTTTTCAAGGGGAATAAGAGACGAGATCATTTTCTCAGCGAGTCGGTGACACTGTCCAGTCTGAGCAGCCAAGGATTCGGCAGAATGATTGAGGCGCTGAGAGAGAGAGAGAGAGATAGAGTTCTGGCAGGGTCAATTACGGGATTGGATGCCTACAACAGCACAAGAGTACGGCGCGGCGGAGTTCCCGAACCCACACCCCCAGCCCAAGGAAGTGATAGCCACACGAGAGAGACAAGGTCAGTGTAGGTATCCACCCCAAAAGGACTCCGAGGATACTGGCAGGGACAGCCACGGCACACTGAGGACTACGAAGTCAAGTATTTAGAGGAAAATCGAGGGAGGCAAGTAAAAGTGAGTGCTGTATTCGAAGCGCCGTGAACACCATCTGATGGATACCAACAGATATGCGAAAGGGAGACCACGCATGTTCAGGATAGAGAATATCGTCGAGACACAATGTTCAGTGGTATTCGTGAAATACAGAAGCGGAGGCGTAAGGATGAACATGGTATTGAGGGCACTTGCACCTGTGAACTGTGACCACACACAATGGTAAGCAACGATCAAACAATTGACGAGAAAGGAATGACAAACGCGATGTATTTTAGAATGCGGCAAAGAATAAGAGTACCGTGGGTAAAAAGGGCACACTACACACCCTGAGGATGATCAATGAAGCTTGAAGCACCACGTAGGATTCGAGTACGAAGAAAATGGAAGTGGGACAAAGCGCAAGTGCAAGAGAGGAGAGCTCCAGGAGTGGGGAGGAAGGCGAAGACCGGTAGGGAGACGACGAAGAGGAAGAAAGAGAAGGCAAAAAATGGAGAAACATAAAGTAGGTACGAAGGAAGCAAGCAGGAGAAGCGCACGGAAAGATAATGAGGAGAGAGAAAAGTGGACGAGAAGTGAAGCGGAAAACAACGGACAAGGACACGGACGAAAGCGGGGTTGAATAGAAAAATTCCCACGGAAAGCTCAGGTAGGGAAATTGGCAAAGTCCGTTAAGGTTTGATACCTCGAATAAATTTTCCCACGGCCAATTCCACCTGCATAATGACCGAGAATCCTATATACATAGGACTCGGAATATGTACTAGTTACCTGCGAATGGGAACCGAAAATACATAACAATACTGGCGTAACAGCCGATGAAGGCGATTGTCTTCAAGTTGGAATTGGGATGTCCTTGACTGAAAGCATTACGGCGCAATATAAGCCAAAGTTAAAAGGTAGCAAAGATACAGCTGCTAATGAGATGTATACATATACGAAGGCAGACATAAATATTTTGAGAGCGGAACGCGAAGCACTATTAAGGTCACCCGATACCGAGCTCACTGGCTGGTCAACTCCATCGTCGAGCCGCTTCTTTCCGGGGAGACTATATGGCCTTGCCAGGTAGACAGAGACATGGATTTTTGTAGAGAGGTAGACGCATTGCCACGCGCCGCAGCTTCTCGTAAATTGATGATAAGGCGGCAAGCCTGTGATACGGCATTTGAAGTACAGTGCAAAGGACGAAAAAGGGACATACAGCAAAAGAATAGACACAAATGAGCCAGCTGTAGACGAGACAAACAGTCAGTGCGTGACGTTGGTCCTGCGGCGCTGAAAAAACTTACCAGCCCAAGATTTCTCCCAAAATGCCGGTACCGAGAACATACATTACGGTCGAAGCAACAAGAACAGCTGTAGCAATTTGAGGTAACTGTTAATTAAAGTGACGTTCTGTGCTGTGCTCACGAAAAATTCTGGAGGTGAATAGGTGAGATGCGTTAAGGAGGGGTTTATGGTACTGCTCACAAGAAGAAGAATACAGCACCGTCCCGGAAGAATGACACTAAAAGAGGTGATACTTGTGACATAGTTCTCATCCGCGACGGCCTCCAACGTCCATCCTCAAAGAGTTTGGCCATGGTCATAACGAAGAAAATCGCTGGCGAATCAGCATGCCAAGCGTCAGATCCTGAAACAGCAGCTAGCAGGTGCAGACAACACAGGCTTACTTGCTATCAGTGTCGTAGGAATCCTAACATTGACATTAGCAAGCATACTTGGCTCGGATAAGGGTCGATACAGACCATGTTGTCAAAGTGAACATCACGTTAGGTCGGGAAAAGCAACCTGGCCATGGCAAGCCGAAAGGAGCCGTGAATGTCGTCTCAGACGCTTTCTTAGCCGAAACGAAGGAGCAAAACAGCTCCAGCTAACACAAAACCATCAGATACAGTGTGTCGTTTCCAAATTCATAAGAGTAAAAATACCGCAAATTCGACTGTCACAGATAGCAAACTCATTGTCAGACCGTTAACTCATGAGACGGGACTCACCGATGACTAGGAATACCAGAAACGCAAGGACTATGACCAATTTCAGCAAAAGGAACCAGGAATCTACTACCCGAAGACGCATACCTTTTACTTTCTTTCCGTACATGGCATTAAGGCGCATGACTAAGATTACATTGACAACCGTTGTGAAGAGTATTTCTCCCAATCTGCAAATCCGTGAGAACTTCACGTGCACAAAGCAGATAGAGCCGTACAAAACCTTGGCCAAATACCACGTCTTGCAGCTAGAAGGAAGTATTTCACAAACTCGTATACGGACGGGTCTTAGATACGGAGACGCACAACTGTGCCTCAAGATATCAGCGACTCGATCATAGTAGTACTATTCTGCTCTCACCTTTATGGGCAGACCGACTATGTTATTGACTATCGGAGAGAAGTTGTGTAGTTCACCTATCAGTACGAGTCGAGGCGCGTACCAACAAACATATGTCTATGAAGTATTGGTGTCAGTATGCATTAGAGCGACGAGCACCTCGACTCACATAACATACAATAGAGCGTAGTACCTGGCGAATAGGTACAGCATTTTCGGGAAGGACCATGCGCTTCTGCACGAAAATTCAGTACTGGACAGAATGATACAAAACGAACTTACTTCCAAACATATTCCACCTTTTAAGTCAGCAGACATTGAGTATTTCGTCAATCTCACAAAATTAGAAATCCAGTACTTCTTTGTGAAACATGATAATGATGTCATAGATAAGAAATGCAATAGACGACACTGGTGGCGGTTAGCAGTCGCAAGCTGTACACGAGCGAAGCACATACTTTGAGAGTAAGTGACCATCCGTGATGTCTGCATGGACTTGACGATCTCCAAGATCGCCTCCGTGGAAGCTGAAGACGACATCTTTGAACCACGAAGTTGGGAGGGCTTCTGCACGTTCAACAAGACTATATGTAGAGTGGTATTGAGATTACTCACCACAGTTTTTGGAGTATCTAGTATGATCCGTAATCCCACTGCATAGGCGCCTTGCCAAGAAGCCATAACAAGGCCATCCTGTGCTCAGCTCAAGTTTCATGCCGGAAGAGTCATCACAGTTGCAGAAAATCGTGATAACAGCATATGGTGTTTCAGGGACTCGAAGATGCTGATAGACCAATCAACTACTAGTAGACGGATTGGTAGATCTCCATACTCATCAAGATATTTGCTGTACAAGGGGCAAAGCGACCGGTCTGAGAAATAGCAACATTGAGATGGCCAATCAAGATGTGAGTTCAGAGGCCTACTAGCATCTATTTCTGAAGGAACGTTGTTCAATTGCAAGGACTAGGGTAACATATCAGTAGCGCGGTCGGTCCCGGGGAAATTGAAGTGGACTGTTGACATCAGAGAAAACCAAGGGTACGGCGGGTTTTGCCGGGTATGGGTAAGGGTTGCCTTTGCTGGGTGGTGGCTGTACCCGTGCCATGATCCTGGGCTTTTTCGGGGGTATTTTCATCATAGATCAGCTGTAAATGATTGATTAGATCGAAATAAACAATTTCGGATGCCCGAAACCCATGCGGGTTCCGGATATGGGTCAGCCGGGTATGGGTACAGGTCGGCTTCATGGTACCCGTGGGTTGTGACCCGTCTAGATATCTGATTGTGAGCTTGCCATTCAAGACGATCTCTGTTGAAGCGGATATTATCTGTTGCCGCGTGGGAGAAATCACATGGGCATCAGAGAGCTTGGGAGACGTGTCATGAGAAGGGCCGGGAATAGGCGTATGCGTTCTTTTGGGACATGGAGCCTCGTTTTCAGAAAGTTTTCTATTGCCAATGCATCTCGCACGCAACCCTCTAAAGCGAAATTGCCAAGATAAGTGTCGATGCCGATGATGACAGCCTAAAAACGTCTTCCGTCGACTTCGTGGGGGAGCTGTAGCATCCATTAGTCGCTATGAAGACCAAAAGAATACGACCATTTGTTCTACCTTGTCTAGGCCTGCCAATTCGGCGCGGATGCGTCTAAGCTCATGCAGGATCTGGATCTTCGAGCGCAAGCGTTGGAGATCCTCCTCCGCCTGAGCGACCCACAGCATGGCTGCATTCACGACTTCGGTGTCAACAACGTCTCCCAGGGTCATACCAAACCTGGCTGCCAGTTCCTCCTCGATCTTTTCACCACGCGCGATTTCCCGCTTCAAATATTCTTCCTAATCAACCATTAGACTGGCAAGGTAAAAACAACAGGTAGAATCGAACGGACCCTGGTCATTGACTGCAATATCCCCTGAGTTCGATCACAAGTGATAAAGGTGGCAATCCTGGGCAATGGAAGGATGGTGTTCAGGGCGACGAAGTTGATACCAAAGAGAACAGTGAGGCGCCAGCTACCACTAGCGTAGAAAAAGGGCGCATGGTGAGCGGAGAGATGAAGAAAAGAAGACAAAGGCTGGCGGCGGGTTAAAAGTGGGGAGGATCTGCGAAGAAGTACTATGGCCGTATCTAATTAGCGTAGTAATAAGGATATAAAAAGATGTACTGTAGCCCTTCTCGCCATCCACCGACCTCCGATAACTAACAAAAATCGAGAGAGAAGTGAGTAGGGCGTACAAACTTGTGGCCCTAGTAGGCACGACTAGACGACACAAGACGGCTCCTTGCCGCAACAAGAGCAGACTGAGACAATAACTGATATTCATACTTATATAGCTGCTTGTAGTCGTAGTGCAGGCACGGTATGTACTTCTTATGATCCGTTATTTATCATGTAGTACGGTGGTCGAAAGCTTGCTGTGTCTGCGGACGGAGGATCCAGAAAGAATGATACCTGGGAAATGCATGAGTGCTGGCAAGATCATTTCAACGTAAGGTAACTTACAAAGGGGATGTACCCCCTTATAAGAGAAGAACCTGGTTATGCAGCCTGACGCAAGCAACATCTACCTATGGATATCCCAAACGTTATGGCATCTGCATAGTGAAAGGAAATTCCATCGCTAGGAGGCTTTCGGAAGGATGCGTCTGGGTGAATGCGGAAATATGGACGGTAATCGCTCTGACCGGCGAGATAGACCTGTGTCAATCGATCGTCACCTTGAATGGGAGGCAAACTTACGATCAAGACGATCCGTAAATCTGAGCTCAAATTTGGCGCTTTATCTTACAGACGTTCCGAAAAACCTTGTCCACACTGCCAAAAAGGGCAGGTAAAATCAAAAAATCAGATAAATACAAGAAAATCATAGAAATAGCATACAGACTTCATTTGTGCGTGTCATTTAGTAGAAAGATACAAATTTAATGATCCATGGGTGCTGCAGTGTGTCGTAAAGATAATACTTGAAATAAGAGCATCTGACTGATGAAGAACTAGTGAGCGCCGCCAGATTTACATGTTCAGGCTGTCTCGCACCGAACAGCCGGTCACACCTTCATTCTTGCCATCATTGTCGTTCAAGAGACAAGAAAAGACAAGACAGCTTTGAAGAATGATTCTGCATTCAGTCAAGCAGGCCGCCGCCATGATTTTGCCACAGTTTGGACGTCGACAGCTCCCGGTCTCCTGCAACACAATGCCATAGTCCGCCTGCACCATTTCACTGCGACAAAGACACCTGCAACTGGATATCCTGGCTTTATTTCGTCAGTTTTCATGGTTAGGACTGGGTTGGTGGGGGTTCAGGCGTTGTAGACTGGGAAGCTTTGGAGAGGGCGCGGTGGCTGGTATGCTAAACATACATCTTCAAGGGAAGTTATCCACTTTCATTTTGGAACGACTTATTACTATTTACAAGGGAGAAAACATTTCCACAGCCTCCCACACCACTCTAATGCTCCGCCGCTGCCTCCCATTACCGCTAGCACAGACCCCGCTCATGACATCCTACCACTGACCTATTGGCCTCATACCTGTTACATTACCTCTATACACCTCGTACATCCTCAATGAATCTATTTATGATACATTACACTCACGAATGAAGGCACCATGCTATTTTCACGATTTTCTTGCATTTTTTTATTTTTTTATTTTACTTGCCTTGTTTGGCAACCGTGGAAAAGGTTTTTCGGAACGTCTGTACACCTTCCTAAATAGATTTTGATACCCAATTGGGATCCCGCGTGCTCTGTTGCTCTTCAAAGCCAATTGAAGCTAGACCTGTACAACTGAGTCATTATCGGAATGCAGACACGTCGTATAAGTCCGATGTCGATAAATAAGCGGCAGCACCTTGCGCCCCGAACCAGCCTCCTGGTCAACCTTTTCTACTCTCAACACCTGAGCAAGATACAGCTGCGATGACAGCACCGGAGCCTTCGACAACTTCTGCATATCCGATTCTAAAAACTCCAAATCATGAAGCGCTGACTAAGTAGAAAGCGGAAAGTCTCACCACTCTGTGAACAGTACATCCATATGGTTTCAGTGGATCCTGCGTCGACGGTAAATAGTGATCCTCCAATGCATCTTGATCAGTGGTATTCTGACAATTGACCAGGAAAATCCCTTACAGATTCTGCTGAAGCGGCTTGAGGCTGACGAAGTAGATACGCTCGCGAAAAAGTGCGGTTTTTCTGCAGGCCTCGACTCTGTAGAGGTCTTAGACGCAGCCAGATTTCGGGCCTTGCAGATGGAAGAGGAGCTCAACGTCTTGCGCTCAAAAATTGCAAGGATCGAAAATGGTACTCTCCGCTCAGAGCTTACAGCTTTTGCGAGAGTGAGCATGTATCGTTCCTGCATTGGCATTGGCTGAACATTCACTGTAGCCTCCTCGCGACATCGACGGCTCCAGATTCTGGGCAGTCCTTATCGGTATTGACGGGTATAGACGCCATCCACTGCATGGTTGTGTGTCGGATGCGCTAGAAGTAAACGACTACTTACTCAATGATCTCGGCGTCCCCAAAGATCGCATCCAGCTCCTTCTCGGTCCCTCTGGCAAACACTGCGCCCGCTGCCTTCCTGTAGAATACTCCAACCCTACTCGCGCCAACATCATCAGCACACTTTGCGATCTCATCACCAATCCCAAAATCGAGAAGGACGACAGCATCATTATCTACTTTGCCGGGCACGGTTCATGCTATAACCACTTTCATTACCCCGGGAATTTTGACAATGGAAACTCAAAAATCTCATTTAAGGATCTGAAAATGATCACAGCGCTCTGTCCCATCGACCGTGGCAATCAGGATGGCGGCGTGCCCGTACCCGATATCAGCAACCGAGAGATCGACGCCATTCTCAGCCAAGTATGCGTTGAGAAGGGACATCGCATCACCTTCATCCAGGATGCCAGCCACGGTGAGCCCTGCAGTCTAGACTCGTGTTCAGACACACGCAACGTCTGTCCGCTGCCTATCTCGGACTTCATCGCCATGCTCCGCGCTGCCGATGACACCATCCGGAGGCTCCCTGCCTTTTGTGAAAACTCCTTATGGGTTCCAGGATGGAAACAAGATACCGAATCTCACGTAGTATTGGCAGCTGCTGCATATGGCGATAATTATGAGCGATATGATGAAGATACCGGGTCTTATCATGGCATCTTTACGCACAAGCTTGTTCGCACACTCAAATCGGGTAAACTGGGGAAAAGATCGACGTTCCGTGATCTCATTTGCTGTATGGGACCCTTTTCATATAGTCTGCAGGAGGCCATTGTCTCTGGAGATCACAAAAATGCGCCTCTTTGGTTTCAAAATGAATGAACAGCTTCGCCACTACCAGACGTACTAGATAGCTGCTGCTATAGTGGGAGGTGTCGGTAAATGTTCAGTACCATTGCATGCAATCAAGTTATATGCGTAAATACTCGAGCACATTCCAATTCACAGACTGCCTTCGACTCGGTAATGGAAACCTGTGTTGGACCTTGGTCCTGTACCAATACACGCTAGTCTTTAGTTCCTCAACGCTCGGACAGATGGATGTAAGCGACTGAGGAAGGCAAGTAAGAAAGAGTCCATTGTAACTAAGTGATCACGTGGGACATGACGCGTAAGCGTCTGGTCTGCGCCCGAATAAGTACCCTACAGTCCAACAACCTGGAATGCCAGGGAACATTAACCGGATTCTCCTAGGTTATCCCCGTGCATAACAGACCCGTATAACTAGATACTCACTCTATGCATCAGCAAATACACCCTTCGACACAATCTAAGGTGCTGTGAGCTTCCCAGTCGATACAAATATCAATTGACATTACTTTCATAAATGTCTTAGCTATGAACCGAATATATTATTCAGAGTATCACAATGTTACCTTGCGTTCTCAAATTCTTCTTCCATCAAACCCCCCAATCTTTCAAGCTACGCTTAACGTCCGCGGGCCGGATAGCCTGACGAGCAGGCTGCTTCACCATACGCGCAGTGCTATTCAGCCCGAAAAAGTCGTATCTCGTTCCGTCACCCTATACACGATTAAATAGGACTCATGAGCAGGCACGAATATCACATACGATCATATTGCTGGGGAATCCAGGATCGAATGGGCGTG